CTGGCACAGCTTGACCCACGCTAGGACTTTAAAAGGCTCTAAATAAAGATGCTGTTGCTAAGTTACTAGCCTTGAACGCTGCTCTGAAAATGGTCATTTTATCCCCACCTTATGTTATACCTCTGCTCTGTAATATATGTATGTAAATGAGGATCATGTGGGCTGCGTTCCCAGCGGAGGACAGTGGCCTTGCTGCTCGCCACAAGCTAAAAATGACCGAGTATCTTGAGAACAGGAACGAGTGTGAACATGTTTTTGCATGTAATTTCCTGACTTCCCCTCAGGGCTGTTGATGATGAACATATTTTCCCCCAAGCTGAACATAATGCAAAGTGTTTCTTTTGTTTTATCTTCACAAAAGCAAGTGAAAATTTTATGAATTCAAATAAATAAGACATGAGACTCAACATTAAAAAAAAAAAAGTCTTTCTGTCAACAGCTCAAGTGATTAAAATATCTTACAAGAAGCAGCAATGTCGTTTCAACCAAGACCACATGGGTAAGTTTGTTATCTACATCTGAAAATCATACAGAACCAACTTGATGGAAAGTGTCACAGTTTACAGGAGTATACTACAAAGTATATACGTAAGAACAGTGCAAATTGTGGACGCTTTACACCAGTTTCTTTGGCCAACACTTAGAGAAATGATCTACGTCTACATAAAATATCCTGTCGTTGCATATTGAATCAGCAGGATGTATATTCGCAAAAACAAGTGCTTCACTCTGTGTTTGTGTACAGAAACAATGTGAATGTGAAACTGGTAGCCAACACGTTAGCTATTTTTACATAAAGTCCATAGCACAGAAAGCAGTGCGGAGCCATTGGCTATTGTAAACAGATTGTCTTTGATTGAGAAAGAAGCAGCAGCAGCAGCTATGGTCGCAGATTCAGATGAAGCTTCCAACATGTTAAAGTTTGTCCACAATTCGAGGATGAGTTAACAGGATTATGGGAGCTTTTGTATAATACATGGTTAAGTACAGCAACATGTTGAACTCAGTAGAAACTTTTACAAAATTTAAAATGTAACCCAACAAAAACATTTCAAATAAATCATACCTATGAATTAGCATGGACCAGAAAATCTCATCAATTCTGATCAGACTTTCTGAGCCCTGTGGGTACAATAAAATTTAGTTTCACGGAGTCATGTATAATCTGTCTGATGCGTATGGGGAAGTTGTACAAGGAAAAATATCTCATAAATCATAACTTCAGCTAAAAATGTGAGATGAACATTTATTTTCTCTGATGTTAAACTAATGCGTTCTCCGGTCCCTGCTTTCACCAACACAGACTCAAGCTCTTTGAAAAACTGCCTCTAATTGATTAGGGGCCATCATGGCCATTTGTAAACTCAGCAGGGTCCTTGAGAGAGAGTGTGAATGTGAGCAGAGAGAGTAACAGATGATGCTGTCATGCAGGGGTGATGAGACGAGGAAAGAAAAGAGATGGCAGAGTGGGACAGAGAGGGGAGCAATGAAGATGAGGATAAAGACAACTGAAAAAAAGCTAAAGAGGCAGACAAAAAAAGAAAGCTTAAAAGCTGCCAACATGTTCGTCTGTTCTCTGCATGGATATCCAGGGCATGTAGGTCAGGTGAAACGACCAGGAAAGGTCAGGGGAACAACCACTCAGAACACTTTTTCATATCCAGATAAGTGCGAAAAGGTGTCCAGTATATATAGTATTGGTTTAGTGGAGTCTGCAATATATAAAAGCAGGTCGTCTGCATATAGTCACACTTTCTGTTAAGCTTCCTGCCATTCTTTTTATTCACACATGGAGACAAACAGCAGCAGCGAAAGTGGACAGCCCTGCTTCATCCCACAGCCAAGAGGAAAATATGTAGAATAACTGTTGGAGTGCAGGCAGAAATACAATGAGGAATATAGCAACGTTAGCTAAGTCAAAAAATATTTTCCAATGCAAAATTTGCCTCAAAACACGTAAGCCCACTCCATCTAATCAAAAGCTTTTTCTGCATCCGTGCTATTTCTCGTAGTAAAAAACAAATGTCTACTTGTAATAAAATATGTTGAAATAATACACGGTCGAACAAATTCTAAGAGAATAATTACACAAACAATTTATAGTCAGTGTTCATGAAAGAGGCCAGCCTTTACCTGCTAAATCAGATATATCCCCTGTTTGTATAAAAGTGATACTGATGCTTGGGATAACAACAAACGGAGATGTTCAGTTTGAAAAGAATCAGTAAACATAATCAGCAGAAGTGGGGTTAAAGTTTAAAAAAAAAAAAAAAACAACTGGGAAATGTGCATTCAAAAGAGGATAAAGGTGCATACTTCTGAACAGTCTCTCCTTGACCATATTCATGGTCCTGCTCTCAGCTGAACAAACAAAACGCACGCAGCCAGGTAAGTACTTTGTTTGAAGCACATAGAGTGCACTATATTCTCTCTCAAACAAGGTTCATAATAAAGTGGCTTTCAAGGAAAACAAGAAGATGACTTAAAACCTTCGAGTGCAAAACAGCTCCTGTCTCATTCCATCATCATCTCTTTCCTGCGTGGCTAACCAGGACACGGAGGTCAAATGTTTCACGACTGCCTCTACCTGCAAAGACGGCGGACAAAGATGCCCCCGTCCTCTCTCTTTTTTTGGAGACGAGCCAAACGCTGCTGTTGCTGTCAGCGACGCTCTGACAGATGCACACTGCGAGTCACCAGAGACGGCCTGCCGCCGAGCCACTGCTACAAGAGCTGATTCAACACTTTGCCGGAAAGACAGATCTTTATTTACCACTGGCCGTGACACGTTTACAAACTACTCCGAGATTCATTTCAGTCACTTCTCTCCAACTTATACAAGCACTATTTAATCATAACGCTGTTCACCTTGCCAAAGGAATACTGTAAGCTCTGCAGTTTGTGTTGTTTTGGCATTGCTCTGGTGTCAGGTAAACACTGGGGATGCTTTTTGTGTGTCGCATGTGTGAAGGTCCTCTCCAGTCTGATTTGGAAACATGCCACCGGCAGCCTTTTCACAGCAGAGGACAAACACAAATCTGTCTGTCATTTATTGTTGCAGACCAGATGAAAAGCATTTTTTTTCTCTTTGTAACATCATTTTTTAAAGAATTCAGTCCTTGGATTCCATCGTCTTGAGAAGGCAAATATCTTCAAGGTGTAAGGAATAATAATCCAAAAATAGCGCCTCAGTCTGACAGTATATAGGTGTATAAATATGGTAAGGGTTTTCTTTACAGCTTGTTTTTAGTGTGTTGTGTTTTCTTCTCAGCCTCCTGAGCCCTGAAGTCAATCTGTGGTCTTCAGTGAATTCAATCAACCTGACCACAAACTGACTGCTCCTGTAATAGACCACTGAAGCTGCCGCTCACACAGCTCTGTCTCTTTCTCACACACACACACAGATGCAGAAACAGAAACAGAAAGACAGAAAGACACTAATAATAAAAAATCCAAATTGTTCAAGAGTCCGCTACAGGTGTTTCCATTAGGACTGGCACAACACAAAGCTACTAACAGCTGCAACAGTGATGTCGTTATTGCTATTTACATGAGAACAAAGAAAAATGAGGAAAGATTGGTTGAAAAATAAATTGAAATGTATGATTTGTCTTCACATCTGTGCTGTCGTGCACTGTAACAGAACTGGCTTCTAAAAGTGACACTCCACATAAAATCTTATATTTCATGCATCAAACAGAAAGAGGAAGCTTGTAATCAATTAGTCTATTGATCGACTAAAACGTGAGGATTTGCCTATTTTTCATTGGTCAGACAAAAGAAGTCATTTGACAAGACGGGACATCAGATTGGACGAAGAGGTTTTCTGCTACTTTTTGAAACTAAATGATTAAACAAATCAAAAAAAAAAAAAAAAAAAATTACTTAATCGATCATGAAGGCAGTCGTAAAGTGCAGCCCTAAAACAGACTCCAACTTTTCCAGTTTTCGGTGTAGAAAAAACAGTGGATCAAAACACGATGAGCTACTCCTGCAGCAGAATCCGCTTCCCTGCGTGTCCGTGCATGTGCTCAGTATCTGGCAAACACAATTGTTTTGTGCAAATATGGGTAAATACACTTGCTCTTAAAAGCTTGCTTATTAAAAAAGATACTGTTGTGGTAAGTCTTTTGGTAATGTAAGAAGAGACTGTCGGGTCAGCACGGCTGTCATATGTGGGGGGGGGGGGGGGGGGGTATATACCTCCTTGTTAGCCATTAATGTAACACACCTGGAGGTCAGATGGGACGGCAGGACAACTGTTTGACTTGTTGTTTTGGACTGTGCAACATTTAGACTGTGCCATCCATCCTTTTTGCTAAGACCCAGCGGCCAAATCAAACCTACGACCATCAGACTAGAAGGACTATGGGTGAGTCAAACCTCTTCTCCCCCCAGACTGGGGAACCACAACAAACCTGATGGACAAGCAGGAACATCCTCATGTCAAACACACAGGGCATGGAGGGTATGCCATGTTTTCAATGCTTAGTGTTAGATTTTGGGTGGAGTATCACTTTAAGCTCCATAGAGTGCTAATATTACATGGCATTAAAAACTTCCTGAACACTTCCACGGTCTAAAAAATACATGATCACCTCCTGGCCATTTTTTTTTTAATTTTTTTTTTTTTACCCAAGTTCCGTTTTGCACCTTTGCCTTTTGTGTCATGTGACTACCATCTTTAACAAGCCTCCGGAGAGTCCACATGGTAATTTCTTACGCACTGGTGCAGTTTTTGGCCAAATTTTTCACAGCTTCGCTCTCTGAATATCAATCTCTGGTTAGTGTTGTCCATTGTTGAAGTGAAATCATGGGCCATTCAGTCATGGGAGACACGGGAGGCTGCACATTTCAGATCAGGTTAGGACACAACCTGCAGGTACTCTGACACTGGGTATACAACAGCAGCGTTTGATACAGTCAGTTCTCCCCACAACCTACGGGTCACAGTTGGGGTAAAAATAAATAACTGTGGGACAAAGACTGAGAGGGGCGTCCTAGATGGAGCTCTCATCTGGCTGCAGGTCAAGCTGTGTGTGTTTCCTCTTCTCCAGGATCCTGTTGAGCTCCTCTGTGAAGGAGTGGTAGAGCGGCGACATGCCCTCGGGGTCGGCCTGCCTCAGCAGCACGTAGCTGTTCCCGTTCATCTTCCTCAGCACGCTGGGCAGAGTGGCCGACAGCCCGTTGGCATAGTCCATGTTGGGGAGCGGAGGTGGCATAGGGAGAGGAGGGGCTGGAGGAGGCGTTTTTGTCGGAGACATCTGGCCCTCGCCTGGAACTATCTGGAGGAAACCATCGCCCATGTCCCCGAAGGTTGGCACCGAGACGGACCGACGACCTTGGCGGCCATTGCAGTGGCTGGAGATGGTTTTGAGTTCAAGATGCGAGCTCCTTTTTCTCTCAGAGGCCCCCAGGACCTGCAGCCCTTGCTGAGAGAACTTTCGGTCCCGAGAGGCCCGTCTGGTGCAGAAGCTCACGTAAAGCAGCACCACAGTCAACACCAAGCAGAGCCCTCCGAGAACCGCCACCAGAGAGATGTACACGGCCTCCATGTGTCTGTAGGTCTGGTACTCCGGTCCTGGAGGCAGCGGGGCGGGAGGTGAGGGCAGAGGCTGCTCAGTGGGGCTGCTGGTGGAGAAAACAGTTGGGCTGGAGACTGTGGTGGGGTTAGTCGTGGCCGTGGGCTCCACGGGGAAGTACGGGTCAGTGTGCACCCTGACTGTGTAAAGATAAACCAGCACGGAGACTGAGTTCTCGACAGCGAAGCAGCGATAAGACCCGCTCTGTTGGGCACGAGCTCCGATTATGAGGAGGCCATCTGTGCCGATGCGGTAGCCAGAATTCAGGTCGTATCCCTGGAGTTCTTTGCCGTTCAAAGTCCAGCGTGGAGTTGCCAGGTTGGAGCGTAGCTCACACTGTAGTAGCACGTCATCACCCGACATCACAGAACGCCTCCGGTGGACAACTGAGCAACAGGAACAGAGAACAAGAGACATGAGACGGAGCTAAAAAGAGATGAAACCAGTGAGATAAGCTACAGCACAGAGAGACAGCATGACAAGAATGCAGCAGGACAGAGAGACGGATATGGAAAGAGATGTCAGGTCGCCAAGGTTACGATTTCAAAGTGCAGGTGAGCAACCTTTCAACATCACTTTCTATTACATTTCATAAGCCTCTTTAAATGTAGGGAGCCCTGCAATGCAGCCAGCATGACCGCCTGACCTCCAGCAAGAGAGGAACTGATTAAAATGTGTACGCTGGGACCTAGGGGGGGGGATGGGTAAGGAACACACACCTAATGAAATCCTTTAATAGCTGCTAAGTGCTTGAGTTTTCAGGCAGAGAAAAAAAGGGTTGGACTTTTTTCACCCCATAATCCATGTGTGTGTGGGTGTGTGTGTGTGTGAGAGAGAGAGAGAGAGAGAGAGTCAGGCAAACTAATGAAGGGGACTGAAAGGGAGGTGAAATGAAGTGCTAAACTTTCTCAACATTAAAATGGATGTACAGTGTGTGCATGTGTGTGTGTTCTAACATACCATTTCCTGAATTCTCCCTGCAGCCCCTGACCCCTCTCAGGATGTCCTGGGTGAGGTTTGACCTGAAAAAAGGTCATGTCAAATGAGTTACATTTTTGAAAAATGAGTATTTAACCTTTATTTAACATCTGAACTTACACATCTCTGTCCAAGTCAAGTCGTGGCCATGATAGGCAGGAATGACATTGAGTAACAGACAAACAACATGAGACAGATCAAACAAAATATGCCACAAAACCAGAATTAAACAGGACGGCGATTATAAAAATAATTTCTACAATCAAGATTTCATCCTGAAAACCGCCTTCACAGCAACTCAAGAGCTGTAACTTAATGCGAACACATCAAGACTGAACAATACTCCAAAGCACCTGCAGTCAGAAGAGAGACGTTTCTGCAGCAATAATTTGAATTCACAAAGAGACGCCAAATTTTGCAGTTTTTAAACCCTCCCTGCAGAAGGTTCCAGGCGGAGGGAACAGCAGACCTAAATGCTTTTCTATGCAGTTCAGTGCAGAACAGCAGTAAGAAAACTCCTGCTACTCTCTACTCATATCTCTGCTCTCCAACACCAGACAGCAGACCATTGACTTCCCTTTATAGAAGGTTCAGGATAACAAAAACAATCTAATTGCTTTAGAAATGAAGTGGATATTGTATGTTATAAACCGGGGGACCAGGGAAGATCTCCCATTAATGTTCAATTCTTTTTGCTGCTTTCAGCGAATGTGCCACTGCCCTCAGAAACTCCAAAACAAATCCACAGGAGAGGCTGATGTGTCTGCTGTCGTAATGTAGATTAAGATGTCTGCTACTCACTCATGCAGAGTGAATGAAGAGAGGCACAAACAGCCTCCAGTGCCAGAGTGAGCTAAAGTATGCCTGCATGTGTGTGTCTGTGTGTGTGTGCGTGTGTGTGTGTGTGTGTGTGTGTGTGTGTGTTTGTTTGTTTGGGAGGGCTTGAAGCATGAACTGGTTCATATATGGATGCCAGTCCAGCTGAATCCCACCACTTCCAGTTTTCTTAGAGCCACCGGTCAAACAAATTCACAGCACAACGAAAACATTTTACAAGATGCAAGATTAAGAATTTAAAGTTTTAATAAAAGTTTTTTTTCCCCATTGGATTTTATTTACAGGATTCACATAATATTTTATTATGTAATGGTGGAGCGTAACATAATTTGAAGTTCGTCGACTTTACTTTACTTTTTCCATTTCATGCCAAGTTAGTGTATATTTGTGCTCCGCTAAAGTTGTGAGGGAAATAATAGGAGTTTTTATTTACTTTAAAATTAAGCTTTAACATAGTAAATATATAATAGGCTTATAAAATATACTCAACTAAAATTGTAAAATGCTACTTACATTTTAATGCATAAGAAATAATAATCTATTCATATTGTATATACTTGCATAACAAACACAGGTATTTGTCTACATTGAGAACTTTTACTTTTGACACTTTAACTTCACTCTGCAGATAATACTAACACACTCTTTAGATCCTTGTTACTTGTAACAGAGAAATTTTACAGTGTGGTACTGGTATCTTTACTTAATGAATGGGATCTGAGTGTTTCCTCCTCAGTAAGAAATGAAAGAACGCTTTCTACAGGTCTGTAATTTCCTAATAATTTTCTTTAAATTCTCCTGTAAAGATCTGTGCAATTTGCTAATAGTTAAAGGGGAAACAGGAATTTACTTAAAAAGTCAAGAAAAGCTTGATTTAAAGCCAAACAAATATCAATTCATTATTCATTTGGACTTTAACCTTCATACAGAACAGAATTATTTGCTTGTCTGTACACAAATATCTTGTTTTTTTCATGTTCCGCTGACCCACTGTGCTCTGACTGTTACACTCTCCATTTAATTACACATGCAGTTAAATGAAATGAATTACTTGAAACTGTACCCATTAAACACTGCCTCTGTTTTCTCTAATTAGTGTGAAGTTACAAAGTTGTTTTCCAGCAAACTCCTTTCCCCCTACTATAGATACACACATATATAAACATATAATAAATTGTTTATTACACACTTTTATGCCATTGTACACAGATAAGTGTTTATTAATGTATTTGTCAATAACTATAACTCCTACTGTGGGAACGAGACTGGCGGCTGCTGCATAAACAGATAATGAATCAAATTATAATAAATCATAGTTGTAATAATGCAAAATATAATTAATTGCTGACAAAAACGGCACATTAATCACCACTTTAAAGTCCTTATAGCTGCTCACAACTACATTACAGTGCGTTCTAACCCATTTATTAAATACTGTATACTGTTCATGAATGCTAAATACAGGGACTTAAACTAAAGTGTTACCAAAAGAGGTCACTCAGTTTCACTTTCTCTTCTAAATGCTGATTTCAGGTGTTTTCAAATCTGAATGTTTTTTGAGGTAATAATTGAAAATTTAAACTTTCCCTTCTACAGAAGAAGCTCCTGCTGAGCCGAACAGAGCTGATGAGAAAAATTGAGGTCGACTACATTGTCTTAGACCTGCTTTCATAAAAATTCTGTTGGAAGGGAAAGTAAGCTGTATAAATAATTCATTAGACTCCAGGATTGCTGTTGGGCCCAGAAGGAAGAAGTAAACATCAACTAAAAAGGTCGTGTAATGCAAAAAAAATGAGCTCTGTGTCAAGATTATTAATTTCTGCTCGGAGCTTTATTACTTGATTCAAGAGGGTCTAACAGTAATCATTATACTTAATTATCATGCCATCGCATAGTCTGAACAATTCACTGTTATTTGACTGTCATATTAACTACATGCTCTTAGAAAATTTAGATTCTCATGTCAAATGTCACTATATCATGTTTTTACCTGAAAAGAAAAAAGCTTAATTTTTCCATTCAATTTAGAGAACCACTCTTATTTTGAAAATTTCTCAGACTTTCATTCAAATGCATACATCGGCAGATAGAAAACATGAAAAGCAATTTCAGGAGGGAATGAAGGAGGGGAATGAGCAGAATAGACAGATGCAACTGCAGAGAGGGTTTAAGGGGATGTAGACTCTGGATCTATGATGGAGCAATTTGTATCTGTCTGGTTTTCTGTCAAGTCTCGAGTCTAATATACACATGTAACCACTCGAGGCTGTCTGTGTGTTTGCCTCCTCACTGGGAAATGTGCCCTTGAGTCTACATGCATCAACGTCTCTGTTTGTGTGTGTTTCCCTCACCTCTGTGCACGTGAGGATATTTCCACACACACCCTCCCGTCCCAGCCACAGAACGGATCTCTGGCAAACACACAGTCGTAGCAGGAAGTGTATCTCTGACAGGCTGACATCGGTACCTGCACCACTCCAGAGTGGGAGCCAACATAGATGCTCCGCTGTGACACAAAAGATAAATGATTGGACGTTAGTCATTTTTCTCCCTTTTCAGCTTTTAAGCCTAAATTTACAATAGGCAACATGAGTATTGGAGTGAATTGCAATATAAGCAGCATATTTGTTGAATAATCATCAATTATTGATGGATTTGGGAATTTCAGAAGAAATTTCCACTGTCTGCTCGCTGCATATTAGCTTTCCACCAAACACTTACTTTACACATGCAGTTTGTAAAAATTTTGGCACTGAAATATTCTTAAATCCTAATTTACTGACTCCGACTGACTGAAAAATCTCTGTCAACAGCGTGTTTACACTCCATTTCTATGAGGTAAATGTATTAACCAGAACATGATCTATCATCTTTTCATTTGCAACTCTTTAGCATAAAAAAGCCATTTACACACTCACAGCATGAATACATACCAGAGCTGCGGATATGACCATGCTCTCTATGGGCTGCGGTTTATCAAACAATTGCAGCTCCTCTATGATATGCATTTCTCCGTCTACGTCTACAGCTCTGTGCAACCACCCGTCATCTGTAGGAAAAGACACAACCTTGTCAAACAAGACACTAGAATAACCTGGAGAGGCAATAAATAGTACAAGATGTAGTCAACACGAAAAGACCAACAATGTGTTAGGCCATCACTCAAGACGTCCTGACTTCCCTATCCTTAATCATAATCTCTGCCCTACGGCTGTTTATCTCTATCAAAGATGCAAATGGTCACAAATATATAGTTTAATTAAAGAAAAGACTCAGTAATTTCCTAAAACAGTTGGGCACTGTAGTTCTCAGCAAATATTTCTCAAACAGGAGCAAATGGTGATTTGTTTGGGACTATTTACAGTTGTGGATTAATACGCACTTGATGACCATTTCCAGCAGCAGGATGTGTATATGGAATTGGATTGAAGTAAATTGTTAATGAAGGAACATGTCACCCAGTGCGAGAATGTGTTTTTAGCCATGCTAGCAGCAAAGACGGTTTGAAGACTAAAGGAAATATCTCACACAGCTAGTGGATGGCTTGCGATGCAATTTTGTTCAGACATTCACATATTCATATAGACATTAGCAGGAAGCCACATACAGCCTACCAGAGCTGCTAGCATGGCTGTAGATTCAGTCTTTTCGCACAACAATGCAGCAGCTCTGCGGCAATATCAGGCTGCTACAACACACACAATACTTGCAAGTCGAGTCAGTTCATTGCAGGTTTTAGTCTTTTCACTAGAGTCGTCGTGTGTTCAGTAGTAAAACTCACCAGTTCCCAAAAACAGAACAGTATAAATGTTTCCATCCAGTGCCGGCTCCTTGTGCACGGCTATCTTGACATAGTTGACACTCCTCTTGAACAAGAGAGGACGAACCCCTATTGGGTGCACCTGGCTGGCCATCAGTGGGTGCCTTCTAGCGAAAGTGAGGACATTGTCTGGGAGGTCTCGGGATGAGTTGATGCCCTGGGACCTGTGCAGATCTGTTATGCACTGTGAGATATGAGAGAAAGCGAGGCAAAGAAATGATCAGTGCTCTTTTGTTTAAGTGTTTGTATAAAAAGTGGTTTTAACTGATTGAACTTACAGATCCAGGTCTTGGCTCCGGCACCTTCCCTGTGTACTCCCTCCACTTTGAGTCCTGCACCTCCATGTACGGCCCCTCGAAAACCTTCTGTACATCTGAGAAGGCGTACTGGCAGATAGCAGAAGCTTTGATATTCTTCCTGAAAGACAATACCCCCCCCACCACCACCACCACCCCAGAGGACACACTCAGGATTAATGATTCAACGTTGAATAAACACTGAGAGGTTATTATCTGGGGAGCAGCTGCCACCCAGATCGAATTTCAAGCACATCACAGATCGTCAGTGGCCACTGACAGGTGAAAAGGTAACTAGGCTTCCGAGAAGACTTCTCTATTCTCTGAAAACCGTGGGTGTTGAGGTGGTAAAGGTTTTTTTGGGGTTTTTTTTTTTACATTTGCTTTTTAGCAATTTGTCTTGCGTGGACATGTGGGAGCGGTGTCACTGACAGGTGTGTAATTTTCCCTCTTTATCTCCAGTCGCTACTCCAGTCATCCACTCCAGAAGGAAATATTTGTTTTGCAAATTTTTCAACACCACACTCACAGCACTGAAATACCCACTCCCCCGTGAGTCATAAATAAAACAGCCCCTTTTGCGGTTTTGGTGGCGTACCTGTGAAAGAAAAGATTTGTTCAGCAACATTACAACAGCATGAGTTGTGGAGTTGGGAACCAGGTGACCCTTAATCTTCAGCCCTAAAGGTGAGATTAGTAATGGGGTGGGTTGTGTCTGCGTCACATTCTTGGATCCATTGTGTGCCCACCTCGGCCTTCAAAAGCATTCAAGTGAGAAAAATGAGATCGAAGTGAAACCAGAATCTGTCTTCAAACCAGGTGAGCAGTATAGCTCCGGGGCTTACTCACTCTTGCACAGTTGAGTCTAATGCATAGTAATGACTACTACTCAGACAGGTGTATGTTTTTAAAAGGAAACCAGAGGAAGCTTCTGCAGTAGAACAAGAGGACAGACACACCGATGGAGGTTGAGCTCGAATATCCACAAAAGAGAAGCATGGAAGTGGAAAAAAAAAAAAAAAGAAAAAAAGAAGGAAAAAGCAAGAGAGAAATAGACAGCGTTACTGTGCTGTTGCAATGCAATCCTCTCCATCAGAATCCAAACACCCTTGGGACGGTTTTATGCAGCATGACTCTGCATATCAGCATAAACACACACGCACATCGCTGCCAGATATTCCAGTCGTCCTCTGACACTGTCACACCAGCTCTGACTGCAGCTCGGCTCGCTCTCTTCTGATAACAACTCACCTAGGGTTTGAAATAACGAGTTTTCCTGTTATCCGTTAATCTTTTTATTATAACTACAATTAATCATTTATTCTAGAAAATAGAAAAAAAATGTGCATAACAAGGTTTCAGAGCCCAAGGTGACATTATTTTGTCTGAAGAATAGGCCAAACCGTTCATTTTTACTGCCAGTACAACAACCTGTTGTTAGGCATTTGTTCTAGTGTGTTCATAGGACAGACATAACAAGACAGACATAACAACACTCAGCACAACACACCAATGATAAAACCATAAACACAAGAACAATTTAAAGTACCAGAGATGTGAAAATGACCTAAAAACTATACACCTTGAGGGCAGGAGCTTAAATAACTTAAATATGCAAACCATATAATTACAATGTCAAGCAACTAAAACCAAAATGTACCTTAAAGTGCCAGAGGTTTTTTTTTGTGAAGCTGAACTTTTTGAATCGAAGTTTGTGATTGGAGAGAGTGGCCAAGAACTTTAGATGCAATTTCTTTTTTTTTTGGCCATTTTATGCCTTTATTAGATAGAACCAGTAGAGACAGACAGGAAATTCAGGAGAGAGAAAGGGAATGACATGCAGTAAATGTTCTGGCTGGCTGGGAGTCGAAGTGGGGACTCAGGGCATTAGAGCCCATGTGGTATGTGCCCTAACCGTTCAGCTATCAGGCCGTCCCTTAGATGCAATCTTACAATGACATAAAACAGAGAAAAGCATGTATCCCCACAGTGGAGAAGCTGAAATCAAAAAACCTTTAACATTTTGTTGTTTAGTAATTTTCTGTTGATTGACTAATTTATTCATTGGACAATCATTACAGCACAACTCAATTCTTTTATCCAACCTCTACATAAACCTGGCCTCTATTTATCTTAAAATGATATAACCACACTGTCATGTTCTTATGCATCACAGGACTCTCTAAAAGGAGGGGTTGAAACCACAAACAAGTTTTGTTTCTTTTTCAATTCAATTAAGGGAAATGTTTATCCTTCTACCACGTGCACAAAAGCCCACACCAGTGCTTGACCTCACTAATGATCTTGTGGCTTGCTGTGCTTATAGTTTATTCTTGCAGGTTGTGTATTTTTTTTTTTTTTTTTTGCTCACAAAGTAATTACTGTTTAACTTTAAGGTTTCAATTCCTTACACCAAATGCTGTAGTTGATACTGGTTTGTAAACCCCAAAACACTCTTCATTTTTTATATAAAGACAGATGATATAAATGAGAAATGAGAGTTTGCATTGAGTTACTGAAGCTGGCGGAACAGAGGCTCGCAAAGACGTGACTGTAACGTAGTCTCTTACCATTCCAGGCCGAAGATGCCGTAGAAAACGCTGCTTTGAGCGTCCCGACCCTGCAGGACAAACACACTGCGCAGGATATTGAGGTGCAGCTCGTACTCTGGGACTGAACACACCATCCTGGCCTTGAGGAAGGAGGTCCACTTCCTCTGCAGGGTCCTCTGGCCACCCCAGTCCGTCTGCAGACACAGGAAGACAGCGGATGAATGAATGAATGGATGGATGGATGGATGGATAAAGTCACCCACTTGAGCTGATGTATTCTGGCATATAGATTTTCCAATCACACAAATCCACCCACTCTCATATATCATATACACATCAATGGCAAGTAATCTGAGACTGCATTACAGTAACAGGCATATAAAGATATAACCGGAAATATAGGAATGAAATCATAAAGTACACATAATTATACAGATATATAAAAACAGACGAGGCAGAGAGTCTTATGAAAGTGGAGCTGAAATGTTAGAGTATGCCTACTTTAGCACATTTGCTCTAATTGCGTTTCAGTAACACTGGGAGGCGAGGCTGCGAGAAATCTCTCCCTAAAAGAGTAATTTAGCACACCTCATTTAAAAGAGAGGGGGAGAAAAAAGCGGTGGAGACGACCTCCTCTTCTCTTATTTTGTTTATCTGAATTATAGTGCTTCATCTTTCTTCATTTATGTCTTTCGCAGAGATCCGTCGCTCTGCCTGCCTCCGCCTCCCACACAAAAAGGCAAAGCAGCTTAAGTCAACATAAGTATCTAAAACACAAAAGCCTGCATTAGGAACACTTCCATCAATAATACCAACTCTGTTATTTGGTATAAGAGAAACACAAAGGGAGGGGAAGGACTGCAGACAAATGCATCCACTATTGGGGTTCGTTCTTCTCCGCAGAATGAAGTCTCTAGAGAGCTGGCGTTGGCAGGGAGGTTAGTGAAGCAGGGGCAAGATGGATGCTATTGAGAAAACAACATAAAAGGTTCTTATAGAGATGGATGCAAGGTTATTATTGTGGAAAGAGCTAAAGGGAGGCACTGACAGATTACAATCTACGTCAGTCAAACCAGCGTCTGGGTCATCGGGCTGTCATGACGTAAATCCAAAGGAGTCGAGAATCAAATCATAGCACTGTAAAGATATGCCTGTAGGGACATCAACCCTGGAGGAGACGATGGAGACTGTGATGCTGTTTGAGCAGGAAGTGAGGTTGATTTTCTGAAGTTACAACAGAGAAAAAAAGACAATCTTCTTTCTTTCTTTCTTTCTTTCTTTCTTTCTTTCTTTCTTTCTTTCTTTCTTTCCTTGGGATATATGAAGGTGAATATTAATTAAAGTCAGAGTGGCACTGAGAGGGCCTTGTTTTCATGCCATTTACACTCTTCTGTGCGAAAATAGGTCATGATCGCCGAGGAAGTCGATGCAGTCTGGGCTGGGAAGTGGGAAACAGAAGAGAGTGCGACTAGTTAGGCAGATACAAAAATGGCAGGTCTTCAGCGGTTTCAGGCCAGAGGCGACTGCCAGGGCACAATCTGCGGATCTGCCTCCAACCAGCGTGGTGCGTTCTACGCTGCCACGAGGGGCAAAGCCGGGGACCGGCTCGACATCTGCATGCGCTGCTGTGGCCTAGTTCAGACTGAGTTATTACACTCTCGAGTGCTCTGACAACTCCACAGCGCTGGTGAAGAGAGGAGCCTAGACCTTATTTCCAGAAATGATGCAGAGAGAATCACAAGAAGATGAACTGTCAGAGAGTATGGGATTAAAAAAAAAAAAAAAAAAAGAGAAAGGGATTACTTCACCTGCAGCAGTTGTGTATCACCTTTTGGGAAAAAAAGATGTGCATTGATGTATTTAAAAATGTGCACGCACCAGAAGAAAAGACAAATATGATTTAGAGATATAGCTGCAGAGTCATTTCCTTTTTTTCATTCTTTCTTGGGGCAAAATTTGTGCACAAGTAACTTCAGAAAAGCTACACAAAAACTCAATTTAATGCACAACAGAAACAGAGGAGCGACTCACAGCTACAAAAATAAAAAGCAAGCCCCTCTCAGATATGCGCCTTGTTACGTAAATGTCACAGCGGTTTAACTTGTCATCTCACGTCTGAACAAGTGCCAGAGTCACTTCTACATAAAAGTCACGGCGGCGATTACAAGGTCGGACCTTGTAAAATTTCCATATCAATTTCAACATGGCAAGTGTGAAGTGAACACTGTCAGATTAACATAAAGGCTGCAGCGGCACAAGGTGAAACATGCAGAGAGAGAAAATGAACCCCAACTCATTAAAAGCAGTGTAACAAATATACTGCATCACTCAGTCTTAATTTCTTATTCACAAAGAAAATCCAACCACTAAAATCAAAGCCCTATATTTCCTCTACATTTCAACTAAATGAATATCTAGCGAAACATTTTACATACAGCATGTCAGCAAATATCAGATTCATTCAGTGATTGTACACAGTTGGACATTATAAATTATAAATTATGAATTAGAATTCTATACTGAAACTGATGAGAAAATGTATTTTTACTGAATTCACTGAGAGAAACAATTATTACGCGAAATACGATTTAAAATCCTCAGATACAAGAAATGAAGTTATACATCTTTGGGAATTTTTTAGAATTATTAGCTCCAGATGGTACCAAACAGAAAAGAATAGCCAATCACACTGTTACCTACGAGAATCATTGCCCATTGACTGGTCTGGGCAGTTTAAAGTTCATCTCCAGACATGTTTCAAACCATGTAAAAAAGACTCTGCTGTGATTAATATTTTGTTTAACATGTTTTTCCCACATAAAAAGTTAAAAAAGTTGTAGTTGTATCTAAGTTGTATCTAGATAGCTAGTGTTAGAGGAAACAGAGTGACTTAGCCACATGTTTGAGCCTCAGTCAGACCCAGACTCAGATGAGGAGTCTGCTCTGCACCAAAATCGGTGATTAAAAGACATATCAGAGCAGTTATCATAGCTAGCATCTTTTATTTGTTTATCTTGTTTGTTAGCTTGTAACTGGCAGTGGCTGACACAGTGATAGTTGCTGTGCTAATGCAAACTCTCTCTCTCTGTACTGACAAGGTTTCAGGTTTATTTTGCCCCCCCCCCCGTCCCCGCAGTTTCACAGGATTGGTTCCTTAGGTTTGTGATGTACGTTTTTTTTGAGACTGTCATTGGTTCACTGCAGTTCAAAAGTGGAAATACTCAGTTATGACTGCTCATGATATGTCTTGTATCATATAAAGAAAACACCATATGGAACTTAACAAGGTTAAAAACTTTTAACTCACTCTAATTGGATGTTAAAACTAGATTCTTAACTGGTTATTCAATAGGTAGCTTTCTGATTCATTCATTCATTTACTCTCATAGATTCATGTAAGTTCTTGTCACAGTCTCACAAAAGGCATAAAAATACTGTGTGAAGTTATTTCACAAGCTCAGAGTCTTTCAGACACTTTTTTGATTCCATAGAAAAACCGCAACAGTGATTTCAGTACAACAGCACACTGTGATGGTAATTACACCACCATGTATGGGATGAAAGGAACTACAGGGAAGGCAACAGAGAGGAAGAGGGACCTCTAGGAATGGTTGCTGGGCATGCTGTCTAGACGACTGGAGATGCTGATCGCAAGTGAAATGAGGTGAGAGCAGGAGGAGAGGAAGGGAGGGCAATAAAGAGAGGGAGAGGGTTTGCCACTGGAGGTGGAGGTTGGTGGGCTTTTAGTAGTTTGCCTGGCAACAGTGGCGACAGAAAGAGCCGTCGTCAGTGAGGAAACCAAGATTAGAGGAGCCCAACTGCAGCTTCATTCAGCACTGAAATAACAGTAAGAGTGAAAGAACAGAAAGTCTTCATTTACATTTCTCTCTGTATCAGGGACATAAAACATTAAATAATCCTGCTGTTGTTGCACTGCCAACTTTTCTCCTCCCTCTGTTCGTTCCATAACCTTGCGGGCACTAAAAATCTCTTGTGTGAGTTTTTTTTTTTAGGGTTTCAACTTTTTCAAACCCAGTGAGACCGTTAATACTGTTTGGTTAAGTTCGTCTCTCTGACCTTGCAGACTCGGGCGACCCTGGACACCTTGGTCTGGCTCGGGTAGGCGATCTGCTCCTGGCTTCTCTCCGTGAAGAAGAAGTATATCTTGTCGTCGTCCCCGATGGAGCTGTTGATGCTCTCCTTCAGCAGCACGGAGCCCACAAAATCAGCCTCTGTACACACACACACACACACACACACACACACACACACACACACACACACACACACACACACACACACACACACAAACAAACACGCACACCCATTACACACAAGAAGATCCACATACCCAAACACAGACCTATTAGCAGCCTAGGAAGTGTCTCCTTGGAAACTAAAGATGGAGCTTTTAAGTATGATTGAATTGCCACAACTAAGCCAGTTAGAGCTGCAGTGCAGTGCAGTCTTTGAAGTGATTTTTTTATTCTATAGGGGAAAGGGTTTTTGCAGAAGCAGCAAAACATCTGAGATAAAAAACATACAAAATTTGAATGAAGTTTGGTCTATTCAGTGGTATACTGTAAGTTAAATTACATAAACCAGCGTCTGACTGCAGTCATTTGTTGATTTTTTAAAAAAATTTCTTTTTGAAATATGAGGTTTCGTGTGTTGTATTTACCCAGAAGCCACCGGGTTGGGGCCTCCTCTGTCCTGAGCGTGGGGAAGGGGAAGTTTCTGCGCACGTCCGGAGAGCTGCGAAACTCGTACTGAGAGGCCGTGAACATCTCGCCGTCTGATCAGCACATCACATCACACAAGTTTGTTAGTGGAGCATCGACAAAGAAAGACAGGATGTGAATGAAAGCTGTTGGCAGATATTCATAAATGGTAATTAGACATAGAGCCCAGTCTGCTTAAGCTGTTAAAAACTGAATCAAGCGGGTGTTTTGATTTCGTCATTTATGCAACACTCGCGCTGAAAGAGTTTTTGGTTGCTGTAATCAGTCCTCTTGTCCGGACTCCAGCAAAAATGATCTCCTTACTAACAACCACACTGTAAGAGGTGTGGGAACTAAATCTGCAGCCCTTCTTCTGTGCATAAATGATTTCCAAAGTTCATCTGAAGCTAATCTGAGGCTGAATTCCACTGATTGATTCGGTGTCATCCTGGCAGTCGAGTGAAGCTTTATTGTTGGTGTTTTGTCCCAGTAACAATAATAATCAACCTTTTTTTTGTGTGCTTTACAAGGGGAAAATAAAGATCGACATTTCATTTAAGGCAACTAAAAGCTCAAAGAACACAACTAAAAGAAATAAACCACCGTAAACTAAGTGAAATGAGTGAAACAACAATAGAAAAACAAAATATAGGACCAAAATTATTAAAATGTAATGTGTCCATCCAGTCCAAGTATGCCTATATTGTTCTTGCTTGACTGATTGACCATGATGTCAGCGTGATATAATCAGTTCGGTGCCGTTTATCAACCTCTTCCCTGCCTCTTCAGTCAAATAAGGTTCAGGTGCTGCTGCCTGTGCGCCGCTTTGACCACACCAACAGATGTAGGAGAGATTAAATGGAAATTTGGAAAGCGTACCCACAAGGAGGCCAGTGTATCCCTTCGCCGGGTCATAGGGACATCTGTCTCTGCCCTCCTCGAAGCCTGAGGAGAAGCTGAACCGCTCTGCATCCTGACAGAAGAGAGCGGGGAGAACAGCAGATTAATCATTTCGTTTAAACGTCAACTCGAAAGCTAGAATTGAAATCGTACGAGCTCTTACTATATAAGCGCAGAGCGGTCTGAAGGCGTTTGTTCCACAGACGTACAGGTGAGTCTCGTTGTACCGCTGCAGAAAGCGGATGTGATTGTAACACTCCGACTGCGGAGAGCGGAGAACAAACGGCTTATTTCTGGCTGTGCAAAAAGCAAGACTGGAAAGAGAACGTCGACCACCTCAAGCACAAAGGGCTTTTTTTTCTTTTAAATGCTTAACCTCCCAGTTTAGTTTCTCAGGGAAAGTGGATTAGGAAGCAATTGAAAGGATTATCCACCTTTTTGCTGTCAGAGGCATTCTGCACATCACAAAGCAGAATTGTTTAATTCACGTTCTCCAATAATAACTCAATAAGCGAAGACTTCAGAAGAGGAAGGGGCTGAAATAATAAAGAGTGGAGAGCTGTGTACCTGATTGTCTCTGCCTTTGTTTAGGCACTGCTTCTTCTGTTCAGGGGAAGCATCCCAATCAATCTGCAAACAACAGGAGGTAATAAGCGTGAGTCAGCCCGCTCGATAAATAGGGAGGAGAAACAGATAAATATAAAGATCTCTATATGGACAGAAAAAGGGAGAAATAAAGAAGAAAACAAGTGTGTGTGTGTCTGTGTGTGTGTGTGTGTGTGTGTGTGTCTGTGTGTGTGTGTGTGTGTGTGTGCGTGCGTGTGTGTGTGTGTGTGTGTGTATGATAAACAGGAAGAGAGAGAGAAGGGCAGTGCATTTCATTTTCTGGCTGCGTCACTCAGCTCTGACTCTCCTCAGTAACCCTCGAATAAATGCCTGGTGCATTTAATCCGATATCCATAAAATTGGAGGAACACAATGGGATTTGTCCAATCTGCTTAAGGCTATTATTAGTTTGTCCTCTTTTAGAAAATGGGAAGGAAAAAAAAAAAAAAAACTTGTGAAATGAGGATTGCAGTTTCTTTGTCAACGGCGGCAATTACGTGGTGATCTGTGGCTCGCAGCGTCCTGGCACTCACCGTGAGGTTCGCAGGTGCGGAGATGTTGGAGGTGTTGAGTGCGTACAGAGCTCCTCTGCCTCCCACGTACAGCAGGCCGGACTCCTCCTCCAGCAGGAGGGTGCTGTAGTTCCGGGAAGAGCCGGTGAAGCGGGAGCTGCCCAACAGACCTGCAACAACAACAACAACAAGGTTTCTTCGTCAGACGGGGAGTTCAACCTGGTGTCAAGAGTTTGTGAAAAGCCCCTTTCCTGTTTCAACACGACAGTGCCCCCATAAACAAAGCCCCGTCCACAACCATCACGGAGCTTGCTGAATCATTTCTGTATCAGGTCGATCCTGTAACGTCTCTGTTGTTGCGGGCAATGTTGCAAATGAATTATTGTGTATTTACTTCACTCGATATCATCTGATACACAACATGGCCAAAAGTATGTGGACGAGGTGTACTATTGGATAATCCAACTTGGGAGCCAGGAATCAGGATAAGAGCTGCAACGATTTGTCACTGGATAATGGATTCATCATTTAAGTCATTTCAGTGTAGTGTAGGATTGGTATCAGCACCGGTACCTTTCCAAACAATATCCAGCTTTGTATATACAGTATGTACAATTTCTCTTGACTTCACACTCCCAGAGTCTACACACCCTAAAATGAGCATGCTTAGCGTGACTGGATGATGTTGAGACTCAACAACAGATCTGGGAGATGGCAGGGGTGGGGGGCGTGGGGGTGGTGG